CCATGTAACGTCTTTTAACGTTGATAGAACAGATTAAATAAACAGATTGACACGGACTATAACTTCAACATCTTTATTCAACGTGCGGTCCTTGACAACGACCAGCGCCCTCTACATGACGTTCTTTAACATATCGTTACAGGCGTAACTTGCGCTCTTGAGACAAACTATTTCTTTACCAACCAAAGTCATATCACTCTTACGGGGATCGAGCTTTTAGTATTGCTGCTCCACGTATTTGGAACGCTTTGCCTTGCTCCGTCAAACACATTAGATCTTTAAATTTGTTTAAAAAAAACTTTAAAATTGCATCTCTTCACCGAGGCGTATAGACAACCTTGATGTTTCTCTGTTGAATTTATATTATTTATTTAAAATAAAACAAAAACAAACAAAAAACATGATACCACTTTTCTCTGTCGACGTAATGTTGCTCCTTTTGCATTGCACGGTAGTGGAGACCTGGGCTTACCCTGGGGTGGAAGGTGCTGATGCTCAAGGTACTGCCTTTGAGTATCTGCGCATACTTATATAGGGAGCAACATTGCCTCGATGGGATAATTGGTAAACGGATTTTGCTTGAAATTCCTTTGGGATTATATGGATTTTGTGGTTTAATTGACTATGCGCCTTGAGCACCATTGGTAAAGATGTGCGCTTTATAAATCTTTATTATTATTATTATTATTGTCCTAGGCCTAACGTAAGCTTAACATCCCCATATTTCCTAGTTTGGATTACAAAGCAACACAACATTACCAAATTAATAGGCTTACTTACGCTTAAATAAATATAATAATTAATACAACTTAGTTATGAAACAAATTATCCAAAATAATAATGGAAAGTTTATCACGTTGTATCTTTGGGGGAATAGGAATAGGAACGGCTACGTGGCAATAGAGAGATGCAAAACAGTGCCAAAAATATACCGTAACATGTTTAAAAAAAATGTTCTTCCAAATAATTTAATTCATGGTTTTTATAATTTAATAATAATGACTACAGATAAAAATATCAACATCGACTGACCCAAGTCTATAAACCTGTCTAATTAATTATTGAAGTGACCGTTGTCCGTTTCCTCCTGTTAACAACAGAAAGAACGGCTCCGTGCAATTTCCGATTCACGCATGATGTGAACAGCCTGTTACGGCGACAGCGACGATCGTTGGCGGAAAAGACAGGAACCCCAACTTGTTCCAGAAATGCATCTGCACTATGTAAAAAACTCCCTTCAACCAACTTTCTTCTGCACGCACCTCTAAATTTATTAACCAGTCGACTTGTCTTCTCCTTTATCGTGCTCTATTTGTTTCCCGCTTTGGTTACTGCTGCTCAGTCTCTGGGGCTCTAACTCCACCACAAATCTTTCTAGTAAGCTACAAAAAATCCTGAACAGAGCTATACGCATTACTCTCAAACTTCCTCCAATTACGCACCTTTCTGAAGAACATTTTCGAAAATTCAACCAGGGGAGAAGCACGTTAATGCTGGCGTATTCATATTCATTTATTACTTGAAACAAATGGATACAATTTAAATTGTTTAAACAAGTCGAACCGACAATTAGACGCGAAGATTAGCTTCGATGGATGGCCTGTAAACATCAAGAAATATAAGCACACGCATACATTTGCTCAACAATCGTAATTTTTAAATTGTATTGTTTCATTTCTTTAGGTAAAAAAAAATGTATGCAGTTAAAAAAGGATAACATACTTGTCGGCTACCTAGAGACAAGATAAAGCCATCAATATTTTTTCGAACCAACATCTGGAACGTACACCAACTAACACTAACTGGAGAAGCCAGAACTAACAGCATAGTAAATCACGGAACAGGAAGCATCTAATCAACACAGGGCATACTAATCCATTGATCTGGAAAGACAACAATTCCATCATATGACATCGGCATCACTAATACAATTGTTCATGAGGGAAACCCATACCTATCACAAAGGTAACAGTAAACCATCAACAACGACTTCATGATATCATCAGCAAATAAAATGACAGAACTAACAAAATAGGAGGAACAATCACAGCACAGGGTTATAAAATTAGAATGTAATAAATAAAATGGCAACTCATACTAAGTTATTAATTAAGAATGACAGTACCGGAATATTATTCCAATAGTAGGGAATATAATTGTCATATATAGTCATATAGTAATAAACTGATCAATTTAATATTTCGAATCAATTAACAATTATTGATAATGAAATAGATAGGATCTAAATAATGTGGAATCATTCAATATCTACCGTAATTGTAGTTATATTAGTCTCTAAAAGTAGGTATGTTTGTTTTCAATCAATATGATGTATTCTATACTGTTCTATCATTACTGCAGCAATAATTGTAGTTATAAGTAATAATCTGATCAATAGTATGTATTGTTTTAATTAAATTCGTATTCACTATTATGGAAATAAACTGGTCTTACTACCTTACATATCTCATTTCCTGTCATTAATAGAAGAAAATATAATTATAGTGACAATTCAGTTAAAACAGATAGAAAGATAAGATATTAAGATATTAAGCTGTACATGTTGTCAAAAGAATTTAATGAATTAAAGGCGTATAATATGTCCTGGGTGTGTCCTACCATTCAAATAAACAGACAGTAAACTGATGAAAGATTGAACAACTTTAGCAAAAGCTCAGATGAAAGACATATAGTAAAACTTTTCTCATTTAAAATAGAATATGCTTAAACTACTTTCAATTTACTTAATGGTAACGTGTAAATTGTATATATTTTTAAAAAGTTATTATTAATTGTTTTACGATAGATGTTAAATAAAAATGGGATGGATACCGGAAAACACTCTTAAGTAAGGGTAAAACAGGTTCAATTTCATACGAAAGTTAAATGGATTCCATGTCGATATATCAATATGTTTTTCATCAGTATGCCAAGGGTCATTGTATATGGCTGGCTGGTTTAGTTTGGCATGTATACTATTTCATGAAACAGCTGTCGATTAATTTAAACTGAAAATTATAAATAAAGCGAATTCAATTATTAAGAATATCCATCACCCACTACAGTATGAATGTCAACTGTCAATGTTTTGGCTCCTTTTTAATACATCCATGTGCAAAATATCACGATCCTTTAACTCGTTTGTTCCATGTTTTATCCGTATGTTAAATAACTATTAAGGCATGAGTATTGTGCATGTTAAACTTACATAATGTAAATGTATCATATTAGAGGTATATGCACTATATTGGTAGTTATAATTGAGTTTTCGAGAATTGAGCAGTCATATTAATAAATATAGAACTCTTTGTATTGGAATCATTTGTTTCTCGTTGATTACCGTGTTTCTGTAGCAAATAGAAGAACCTGGGTGGAAGGCAATATAACTATCTGTTGACTTCTTCGCGTAATTGGACATAATTTCGTCCAAAGCCGCGCCCTGCACAGTCCGGTCGTCGGTGCGAAGGCTAACTTCGAATACAGCACACTCCGCTACCTTAGAACATGATTGGTTCCTAAAGTGTTTTTGGGCCGCATTAATTCACACCCTACCCCGATTCCGGCTATACTCTTAGGCCAATGCGCATGCTCAGTGTTTAGTACTATTAATTACTTGTGATTTAAACACTTGTATTTACTAAGTGCTACACACCATTATGACCGTGACCTTAACATATAGCCCATTGAGAGGGCTTTCAGACACTCGCCTTGACAGCGAGAGGTTGCAGGTTCGAGGCCCGCCGGAGACGACTTTTTCTGCTAAAACGGAACTTTCATTGGTGACCTATGCTTGATACGATTTTTATATGTGTCTATATTTGAGCACTGCTATTAATTAATGATGATTTATACATTAATGTTTACTCAGTGCTAAACACCATTTATGATTACAGTATTTAAATAGGTTACTATTACCTAGCCCATTGAGGGCGTTCATTTGTAAGAGGAAGTTGAAGCGGTAATGATACTCGCTTTGATAACTGCTAAAATAGAACTTTCGTTGATGAGCTATGCTTGATACGCTATTTATGTGTTCCTATATTTGAGCACTGCTATTAATTACTTATGATTTATAAGTATACAATAATCATAAAAGGTGTCTAGCACTGAGTAAACATAAATATCTAAATCATAGGTAAGTAATGACAGTGCTAAAATATAGGAACATATAAGTAACGTATAAAGCACAGCCCATCAACGAAAGTTCCTTATTATTATTATTATTATTATTATTATTATTATTATTATTATTATTATTATTATTAATATTATTATTATTATTATTAATATTATTATTATTATTATTATTATTATTATTATTATTATTATTATTATTTTTATTTATTTTTTATTTTTTTTCTTCCTTTTCTGGTGTAGCTGATGTTGGTGGGTTCTTTCGTTTAAAGCTTTCTGGTATCATGTTGCGTAGGAATGAGTTGTAAGATGAGTTCAATTTTGGCAGTTCTGCTTGAGTACGGCGCCATGCGTAAGTTAAGGCGTGAGCTTACAAGAGAGTTTAAGAATGTGATTCGTAGATGAATAGGTATGTTCGGATTTGTTATCATCTTCAGAAAAAAAGCTGTCAACCCGATAGAGATACGATGTTCTACTTTTTTGGGTCCTATGTGTAATTTTACGAGAGACTTCTAGACACATAGGTAGCGGAAGCATTTAGAATTATTTACAGTCATTCGTTTATGCGAATGATTCTCTCTAGATAGGAGCCATCACTTTCGTCCAAGTTCCATACCATCGTTTCGGTTTTATTTTGATTTATTTTTAGACCAAACTCAGTGAACACCTGATAGAGTTTGTTGATCGCATTTTGTAAATTGTCTTGGTTCCAGAAATGTATCCCAAAGTCGTCAGCATACCCGCTGTCCAGTTCATTGTGAAAAGCTGAGGATGGTGCACGATTTCTCTGACTCCTTTCAGTTGCTCTAGGAGGGATACAGAAACGTATGGCTAGTGGTTCTATATCTATTTTCGAGCACTTAGGCTTGAAGACACTCATTGCATAGTCTACATACGGGTTGAACAACTGAGGGCTTTCGTTACCGCCTTGCCTGACGCCACTGTGTCAAAGACATCCTTGGTAACGAAGACCCTTGGAAATTTCACAAACAGACGTCCAAATAATTCCGTAATTTTCATTTTGTGACTGCCTGGTGTATTATGATTAAGATAAAAGAGAAAAAATAGGGGTCTTCGTTTTTGGGTTTTCGTTTTTATAGACACCCATATAGGGTGTCTATAAAACGAAGACCCTTGGATATTTCAAAAACAGACGTCCAAATAATTCCGTAATTTTCATTTTGTGACTGCCTGGTGTATTATGATTAAGATAAAAGAGAAAAAATAGGGGTCTTCGTTTTTAAGTCTTCGTTTTATAGACACCCATATAGGGTGTCTATAAAACGGAGACCCTTAAGTATTTCTTTGTTTTCTTCAATTTATTCTGATGAAATAATGAAATATGTACCTGGGAATGGTTTTATGATGATTTGGAAATACTTCCAATGAAATAATTGAGAAATAATCGTATGTCTTCATTTTACAGATCTTCGGTCTTCGTTTTGTAGGCACCCATATAGGGTGTCTATAAAACGAAGACCCTTGGAAATTTCAAAAACAGACGTCCAAATAATTCCGTAATTTTCATTTTGTGACTGCCTGGTGTATTATGATTAAGATAAAAGAGAAAAAATAGGGGTCTTCGTTTTGGGGTCTTCGGTCTTCGTTTTATAGACACCCCTATTTTAACACCAAGATCTGAAATCATTTGTCTTTTCAGTTTAATTATTTTCCATAACAATCACTATGCCGGAATTAAATCATCTAAGAAATGTACGTACAAAACAAAGGAATTTGCATAGCTCATATCAACGTACGGTCAATATACTACACAGTTGATGAACTCGCAATTTTCATTAGAGAACAAGGAATTTACGTTCTTACTGTTAGCGAAACATGAATATGTGATAAAATAAATGACAATGAGCTACATATACCAGAATACTCCCTTTACAGGTACGACAGAAACCGTGAAGGGGGCACAGTGGGCCAGACTGAAGTCAAAGTGTGCCAAAATTAATTACTCATTACAGAAGCTAATCTAAGCGAATATAAGATCTATGTAGAGGTTTTCATACCCGTAGAATTCAATAAAAGCATTTTCAAATCCATAAGACGTCATTTTTGTACTCTTTTCTGATTGGACGATATCAGTTTTCATTGCAACACCAAAACAAGTTCATATTGCAATGATTTTTGAAATGTTTAAGGATGTTTGGGATAAAAGAACCCCTGTGGGACACTTTTTTTGTATTTTCTATGACGTCATCAAAATGCATTTTTCTGATTGGACGGGGCCAAAAGTGTTATAGGCATAGGCCAACATAAAAAAATATCTATTGTTAATCTTACAGTGAATATAGTTTTTTTTTAATAAATCGAAATCGAAATCGAAATCAAAATTCATAATAATATCAGACAACCTAATTGTTGACATTTGTAAATGTAAAATGTAAAATCTGCGAATCCATGGAATTCTCAGACGTTACGCCTACACCAATGTCATGATATATTAATTCCTTCCTCAATCATATTACGCCTATATTGTAAAAGTATCGATAATGGTTGTTTTACGTTTTGTGATAATTCTCAGTGCAGAGTGATCGAGGAGGCTTTGAAAAGGAACTTTATGGTTCCACAAAATAAAGCATTGCTATCTACCAGGATAGGATGTTTTTTTGCAACTCTTATTTTGATGTAAGGAGGGGCCACATTTTGTTATGGAGCTACAAAGATATGGACAATATTTCATCTGTCGGGAACGATTCCGATTTGCGCCAGCGGAGGGGAGGGGCAGGGTCCCCGTCGAGGAGATCTCCCATTCCCCCCTCCCACCCCCGTTTGGAGAGATAAACTACCAGTACAATTCGTCGGGGAGAAATAGAATGTGTATGTATTTTCTACATATTAGAACGCCCCTTGCAATGCTGAATAAGTTCAGTGCGTACATTTTATGTCAACAAATCTTGTACTTTACCCTTGTGCGAACTCTCTGGAAAGATCCTCCCATACTTCGATAGCACGTCCCGGTTTGGGTTGTTTTTAAGTCTCTAGTGGGTTTTCTGCTGGTGTGGAAAGAATATCTCTGTTCTGTGTCAAAACATTAATAACTTCATCATAAAATGGAATCCTGTTGTCAAGCCACGAGGTATTTTTTAGAAATCCAGCAAACACGTGTTTACGTTCTTATAACGTTCTTGGCGAATGTTGGGGTTAGGTATGTCACAAAACAACGTTGTAGGAACGTGCAAACGTTGTGAAATTATGTTCAGTACGTATTTATGGTTCTA